TACCCGGTCCATGACAAAGAGCTGCTCGCCATGCGCTATGCACTCATTAAATCCGCGTGTACCTCCTGGGTGAGAAGACCTTCGTATCAGGCGTCGCTGCGGACAGCGACGAAGGCCCCCCACTTATCCCAGCGCATGGCACGCTGGCTGTCCCTGTTCTCCGAGTACAACTTTGTCGTCCACTACAAGCCGGGCAAAACGAACATCCTCGCCGACGCGATAGCGCGTCGGCCAGACTACGTGCAGTCGGGTCGCCACGCGGTTGGTGACGAGGATGACGATGAGTGTGCTGTGTGTGTCGCTGAGGGAGTGGCTGCAGTCGAGGTTGCAGCGACCAGTCCACTCCGCGACCTGATCTCGGCTGCGTACGACTCAGATGCAGAGTGCTCCGAGATGATGAAGTACCTGCGAGATCCGTCGGACACGGCGCGGCGCCCACTGTCGTCGCGTAGCGGCGCCCGTGTCGATCGCTACGCCCTGAATGTCAACCTGCTAACACACTGTGTCGACCGCTCGGACCCTCCGCGCATCGTCGTCCCGCTGGACGACGATCTTCGTGCTCGTTTGATACATGAGTTCCACGATACTCCGAGTGGTGGCCATCTTGGACGCGAGAAAACGTTCGCGTCGCTGTCTCGCGACTTCTACTGGCCGCATATGTACAAATGGGTGCGGAAGTGGGTACGCTCGTGTGAAGCGTGCCAGCGTGTCAAGCCGTCCCCGTCGAAGCAAGCTCCGCTTCGACCGCTTCCTGTTGCAGTAGAGCCGTGGTCTTCCGTGAGTATGGACTTCGTCTTCGGGCTGCCTCGCGATGCTCAAGGCCGCACTGGTGTTCTCGTCTTCGTTGACCGCTTCAGCAAGATGGTGCATCTTGCTCCAGTCCCCGTCTCAGTCACCGCAGCGCAGTCCGCGGCGATCTTCCTCGACATCGTGTATCGACACCACGGCCTGCCGACATCGATCGTCTCCGATCGAGATCCGAGATTTACCGCCGCCTTCTGGACGGAGCTCTTCAAGGCATTGGGGACGAGGTTAAAGATGTCCACCGCGTC